AAAGAGTTAAAACAAACCAACAATTGACTGTAAGAAAACAGCAGATCTTAATAACCTCCACAAAGGGAAAAAAAAAAGTCTCAATTAATTATAGCAAAACGTCTAACAAAATGGAGAAAAAACTGGCTGCTAAGGAGAATAAGGATTTCTTAAGAACAACTAGATGTGTTCTTACATTATGCAACTGAAGAATTAATCACATTCAAGTCAGAAGAGGCTTCGCTTTAGAGTAGTTAAGGAACTCAGCAGAGCCAACTAAAGGGAGGCAGCAAGGTCCCAAAATAATAGCAGAAGAGCAAACACAGCAGCAACTTAAAAGTGAGAAGAGGAGGAGAATGCAGGAATTGAGAAAGTTACAGACCAGATGTGGGAACTCTGATATCCAAAAGTCCTGGAACACACTACAGAAGGTTAAAAGCTGCTTTGAATTTGTTAAGAACAATATCTAGTTTCCTTTTTGAGATCAGCACAGTAGCCATCTCCTCAATGAAGCCTTTAATGCTAACTCACAGGACAGTCTCAAAAGTACACAAACAAACCACAGGAAGAATAAGAAAACAACACCCTGGTTGCAACTACCCCGAGAAACAGCCGTTCAGCCAAGAGGACATTTCAAACATCATAGAGGAACTTGCAACCAAGTTGCCTGCATGATCCAATTTTCAGTAGCAATTAAACCGAGTGACTTACCAATAACTCCACGAGACTGACATACATGTGGAATGACATAAATCCAAGAAACAATGTCAGCGCTTTCAGAAAGCAGGATTGAAACTAACTTTGCCATAAAAGACAGATGGTCTAAACTCAATGTAATTAAACTGCATAAGGAAAAATACAGATGTGAACCAGCACTTTGAAAGGGTAACAGTGAAAATACTGCTATGAAGGAAAAGGGATCAGTTTTACTCCATGACTACTGTGGAAAGTTTCGAAAAAGTCCTCAGCTTAATATGAAGTAAAGGAGACTTAGGATGGATATCAGGTGGGAAAAAACAAAACAAAACAAAAAACCAACCAAACAAAAAAAACAAAAACAAAAAAACAAACAACAAAAAAAATATAAAAAAAAACACAAAAAAAACCCAAAAAAAACAGAAGGAAAAATATTCGAGTAAAACTAGGGAAATCCCTGTCCCTGGAACTTTTTTAAAGAATAGTTAAGACTGGCACCCATTGGGGATCATATCTGGGTATACACGACCCTGCCACAAGTTGCACCTCAGGCAGGGCTCCAGGCAAATGCGTGCTCAGTCCTGGCATGGGAGTCAGCTACCTGGATAGGGCAAGAGAACTGCTCGACAGGACCAGAGAGGTTGCTGGACACGGCCTGGAACTGCGAGAGAAGCTGACAAAAGTCACAGACAGTGTCATGAGGGTGACTGGACTTCCAGCATGGTTCAGGGAGAGCCATGTGAGAAGCAGCTGAACTCCAGAAGCAGCTGAAGGGCAGGACAGAGGACCTCCAGGGAGTGGAAGCAAGTACGTCAGGGTGACCACACTGGTAGTGCCAAGCACTGCTGAGATTACTGAGGGAACAGTACAAGTGCTATCAAATTTGGTTCTGATTTAGCAAGTCTGGAATCAAGAAGGAAAACTAATTACAGCAGGCTGGTCATTTGGGAAAAGGCTGGGATGGAGGAAGGGAGGTATGAAGGTGGCAAAAAGGAAGGTGAAGAAGGAGGAAAAGGGATAACAATGACAGGTGATCAGTGACTACCAAGTAGCCCTGCACTGCTCATCACCACAGCTTAAATGAGGGCAGCCAGGGAAACCTGTTCTTCTGAGCCCATCACAAGAATCAAACCCACTTCTGCTGTCAGGAGAACTGGGGCTAGGAGGGAGGTATGGTGGCTAGGAGGATGGGACTGAGCATCTTCACACTATCATGTTGGTGCTTGTTCGTCCCCAACCTTTTCCTACTCGCCTTGTGAAGTTCCCTTTCACCTCGACTCTTCCATTGCACTGTCGTAATGTCAAAGGAGCAGAATGCAAGTCCTGTGACTCCGTTCATCCTTCACACATAAAAATAATTTCCAGAATATTCTCAGGGACAAAGTGACCTATTTCCTATCTGCCCTGGAGAATGCCACCAAGCTATGGTGCTAAGGAAAATGTAATTTGTTTTTGTATTGGCTACTCCATAATAATTTCTGTGAAATGTTTGGATTAATGCCAAATTCTCTTTTCACAAGACACAAAATCCTTTGACAGTTGGGATATAATTTCAGCAGCCTTTGAAGGAGATGGGAGAAATGGTAAAATCATGAAGTACAAGACTCCAACATCTGAATGAAATTATTAAATATCCATCAAATAAGTATTCATCAGACAAATGGTAATCAGATAAGTAAATTCATGATAAACACTAATAGAAAGTTTTATGGACTCTGGATTCACCACAAACAATACTTTCAGAAAGTCATGAGAAGTGTGGGTGATGAGTATTTAATTTCAGTTTAGAATTATTTAAGTGCACATTTGTTTCACTTACCATATGGTAAGTGAAAAAATAACTCTTTTCTCAAATATCTAAAAATTAAAATGCACACCAATATCTTAAATGTCCTTAGCTCTATAGTTATTCATTGATTTCTTTAATTTTGCTTTATGTTACTGAAATTTATCTGCAATTCTGCACTGAAACTGAAATGAGCAGTCAGAAACCTTTTGGTCACCTTCAAAATGGTAAGGGGAAAAATATTCAACAAAGAGCATTCTTAACAAAGACGACTGAAAAAAAAAATCCTGCTATATACTTTGCATCTTAATGGAAAACCTTTGGATCCCTGAGCTGATGCCAAACATCTGTGAGTGCAACATGCCCTAATATTCTCCATGGGAGTATCCCTAAAGCTCTTGCCCCTGTTAAAATATCTATTGAGAAGCCAAAAAAAAAAATAAAAAAATCAGAGCAGTAGCCGTTAAAAATAATCTTTACCAGTCACTGCACAATCATTTTCTCAGAGTTTTAGGGTCACTGTTATATTAACTCACTCTAGAAACAACACATAACATTTGCTAGACTACGGATACAATGAAAAGGCCACATATGTGGTAACTCAGAGATTGTATTCTGTTTCTGTTTGGAATAAAATATTTACCCCACAATATTTTGTACTCCCCAGTTTTTCATCAAACTGATACTGTTTTAATAAATACTGCATTTCATCCTTTTCTTATAAAGAAGCTGACATTAATTATCATCTAGTGTGATAAAGTGCCTTCTGTGTAACCATGGGCAGCATACCAAAAAAATAATACTGTTTTGTGGCATTCAGTCTGAAAAATAGAAGTGTTTTACTACACAGCCAGCCAGCACTGGATTCTGCACAGCCTACTGTGCTGGTAATCTGTTACTGCTGAAGACCTCCTGATACAGTCACTGAAACGTGCCACATAATTCTGCAGACCTGAAGCTGACAATTCTCAAAAACCTGATATCAAAATAGTGTGGAAAATAATGTGAGAGGCTATAAGGTATTTTTCATTGCAAAGCTTCCCAAAGACTTTCACTAATTAGATGTACACAACTTCACTAGAATTAAACACAGCTATGGATGGCAGACAAGAAAAAGGAGAGTAAAGACTATACTATAATTACAAAAACCAAAAGAAGCATTCTAACATAGTTGAGCAAATCCCTACAACTTGACAAAACAACTCCAGATACCAAAAAATTGCCTCTACTATGTAAAGACTTTATTCTTCAGGAACGTTCAAGGAATCCCATAGACCCTAATTCTGACCCAAATGTGGTTCCAGATCAGAACAACATTACCAGGACATAACATGGCACACTCAAGGAACTGGGCTCAGGACTGCCAGAGAGAGAAATGCTAAAAAAAAATTAAAAAAAAATTCACAAGTTCCTTCTCACCTATCTACATACTCCTACACTGCAGGGAGAGAAGAGCACAGGACACAGATTAGTCTCGGTTCCCTATCAGCGATGCCAAGTGGTCACTGACTTCCAGGAAGATAAAAGTATAATCATATGGGAAATACTGAGGAACATAACTGCCATCCAGGCAGATCTGAGAGCACTTCCTAGATGTGGTGTCTATACATCATTTGCTCTATGAATCATAGAATCATAGAATGGTTTGGGTTGGAAGGGACCTTAAAGATCATCTAGTTCCAACCCCCCTGCCATCAGCAGGGACACCCTCCACTAGACCAGGTTGCTCAAAGCCTCATCCAGCCTGGCCGTAAACTCTTCCAGGAAGGGGGCATCTACAACTACAACTTCCTTGGGCAATCCCCAAGAATCCCCACTCTGAAACAAAAGCTGAGCATGCAAGTGCAGAGAAGAACCATAGTACCATCCAGAAAGAAACCCCCTCATCTTCTGGGCAACTTAGGAAATCAAGATTGCAAGGTGTATTGCGGAGCTCTCGGCCCACACTCTGTGTGCAGCCAACCTAACCCATACTACACTAAAACCCTCATCATAGGCACATGAGTGAAGAACACTCCCTTCTACACAACAGAGTAACTATATGTTTGCAATGCAACCCTCCCTCAGAAAGCTCACCTACAAAGAAAAGGTTTGCAAGTCTGCTACTGCATCCAGCCAACAGACTGCATCCCAAATCCACAAAAATGTTGAAGCTGGAGCCACAGAGATCCTGGATCCAAATCTGGCCAACTTCCCAGCTTTGGGTGTCCTGCTGTAGTATGAAGTTTTTCATCTTGCTTTTGACTGTAAATGGTAAACTACCTTATGATGGTTTTCCCATTCACCCCAGCCATAATTTATCTGGGTACTACCATTTCAAACCAACTCACAGTCACCTGTCCTTACCATAACAGCTTTCTTCTTTAATGAGAACTAGTTGCTGTCTGTAACTCTAGACTACAGAATCAGAGGCTGAACAATGACAGTTTTCACTGTTAAGTTATTGGTACATCTTGGTGGATAACAGAGCAGTAAGTAATTTTAACTGACTTTCATCTTACTCTTTGTACAGCTTTTTAAAATTTTTATCGCAACTCACCAAAATTTCTCTTTGTTCTTCCAGGTTTTTTAAAAAGTTTGAAAACTCATGAAGTGATGCATCTGTAATACAAAACCAGAAAAAAAGTTTAATGATGTTGCAGGATGGCATGGCAAAATACAGCCACTTCTGGTCAGTCACTTCTTACCTACCTATGTATCTTTCATCATCTGTCTCTGCATCACCAATGAATTCAAATTTAAAGTCTCTCAGAGAATGAGCAAATTTTCTCTGGGCTGCTGAAAGGTCTGAAAGAAAAAAGGAAAAAAAAAAAAAGCACAAATTGAGGATTAGGGAATCATTTTAAGAAGGCTAGAATATCCTTCTACTCTAGAATAAGCAACTTTTACAAGAAACTCTTAACACAGGTCTGCCTAAGGACATGAAAAGACATTCAGTACTGTCTAACCCTCTTCTGATCTCATCTGTGAGCCTGTCACACAGATTTCTTTATACAAGGCTACATAGTAGAAAGCAAGTGTGACCACGTGCACAGTATCAGACCTACCCTGATGTTTCACTATACCACAATTTAGGGCACAGGCCATACAAACAGATCTGTAACTATAGAAGTTTAAGGCACAACACTCAGAGTAAGTTGTGCCAGTTGCCTTACTCTGCTAAAACACATTCATTATTTTACTTGGAAGCAGAAATACGCATCTTAGGATTTTCTACATACTTTACATAGATAGCTCTGCTAGTGAAACATTTATACATAAACCAAATTTAAAAGAAATGTTGCTCTGGAACTAGAAATTTCATGGAGTTAAACTATTCCAAAAGTTAGTTAAGGGCACAGCATTAAAATGAATTTTGTATAATAACTGTTTTGTAATAGTCCTAAAACATTTTCTTCAACCCAATTTTTGCCTAGTAGTGTTTGACACTTTGAGGTCAGAGGGCTGCATCCATCCCTCAGGAAGTAATCTGACTCTGTATTCAGCCACAATATCATTACTATAAACCCTTATTAAGATTTATAAAGCTGTAAATAAGTAGTGTACACACACTTTTCTGTTGTGCTGACATATGCAGGTTGGGAATGTCACGAGTTCTGGAAGAATTGAATTGCTCAATGGAAAAAAAAGGGATGCATGTCCTGGTACACTCCTACCCAGGAGTAAACGTTTTACTCACATTTTTGTTGTCCATCAAGGTTAAGGACAATTTGAAATATTTAGTTAATCTATAATCTTTTTCTTATCACATGCAGTTCTGAAGGGCTAAGAACAACTCTTTTAACAGACGAGCTAAGCATTTTGTTCTTTAATATTAACTGGAGCTAAAAGACTACAAACTTGGGCTTTTTTTGTTGTTCTTGGGTTTTTTTGTTTTTAAAAAACAACTTTATGACAGGTCCCACATCCAACACATCCTATGATTTATCATGTGTCATAGTCAAGTACAACTCTGACATACAATGCCGCACTGCAACTTCAGTTCAACCACTTAAAAGGATAAGTCATAAATACTCTACAAACAGTGAGACACAACCTAAAATGAAAAAATGCTTTCTGTTCCTTGCCATTCCACATTCCTTTCTGTTCATCCATTTTTCATTAGTCCTTTCCTCACCTATTGTGTAACAGCGCTGTCCTCTGTGATGCCATACTGCCAGCTACTCACTTCCCTTTTGCAACTGCTTCTAAAACCTGTACACATACTCTTCCATCCATGAAGCAGCAGGGTGCTGCACAGGGTTGAAGAAAGATGGAAAAGAAGATTGAAGGAAAAAGTAACATCATTCCCATGCAAAAGGAACATGGGTATTTTAACTCAAATGTCTTGTGGGCTAGAAGGCTGTTCATAAAGCAGACAGCAAAAGAAACAAGCTCTGCTGGCTGTGAAAGGCTTAAATATGGAAAAGAAAAGGTTTACTAAACATCTAATATTACGCCTATTCGTGAGCCAGGTCACAACACAAGGCTCAAAAGAGTTTATTTATGGGCCAATTGGTCCAACAATACACACGCTCCCAAACTTATTTGATTTTCTTGAATCCAATAATCCCCTACCAAAGCCTTGTCATATGAGAGCCAGCCCCATGCTAACGGAAGGAACTGTTTATTACGTTTTTTCCCCACTTGTAGAGGTGAAGTATTGAAATAATGTTGAGCAAGGTACATGTTAAGAGAAGGCATACAGCACCCCCCCCTCCCCCTCACTGACCAAAAGGGTACTAAACCACTGAAATGGGCTATGGGCTTCAAGCCCTTCTAGAGTAGTGTAAAACTATCTCCTGCATGGCTGCACATCCCACCTCTCCACCAAAAGCCATCTCTCTGGTGACAGTGACAGGAGACAGAACCTGTGCCCACACCTCGACTCTTTCAGTGCAAAGTCCAACATCTTCGGTCAAGTTGAAAAGGGGCTGAATCAAACACTGAGCTTCTCACTGGATCAGAAAGCCACATTCCTGCATTTCTCTTTACTGAATCTGTGAAGAGATTGGAAATGAGTGACTGAAGGGCTGAGTAGGTGTTTGGCAGCAGTAGCCTTTTAAACATACCAGAACTAGATTTGCAGAGTTCCTGTATTAAGGCCATGAAGACCCATTAAAATTTTACAACATCTTTCCACAAATCATCTCAGAAATGTTTAAGAATTGTTCCAGAAAATTTTGGAAAGCATCAAGGGGTGAGGGGAGGTTGGAAGTCTGGGACACACAAGAATGACCTAATGGGTCAAGAAAAGCTGTAGATACCTGGCTATTGAACAAACACCTAGAAGAAAGGACAACATAACAGGAAGAGATTTTCTGACAGATTTTAAGAACTATGCACTTTCAACAAAGGTGAGAAGTCACTGGAGCAAAATAAAACCCAATCATACTTTGCAAGATTTAACTGGGAAGAAACAAACCTCCTGACTGGGGAAACAACACTCCAGTCATTTGGTTCAACAGACTGTTGCAATAATCAGAGCCCTAATTGTCACCAAAATAAAGAGATTTTTAATCCTGCCTAGTCAGCAGATGTTAACTACAAGATTCATCCTCCAGTGTTTATATATTATTCATCAGTCTTGTTTTGTTTTGGCTAAATTTACATTTAAGATCACATTCTGTTTTCATTCCCTATGCCAAAACAGCTCTGGTCTAACATATAACTAGCACCTTGCCAGGCAGAGCCATTGGTGCCCAGCTATTCACAGCAATGGAAGAGTCTTTAGTCTGTCTCCTGCTAAACTAAAAGAAACAAAACTGAGTATCAAATAGAGATGGAGGAAAACTCTCAAAAGCTCGGAGCAAGAGTACTGAATTCATTCTGCTACAGTACAGGAAAAATTAGGAGGATGGTGGTTAGACTCAAAGAGATAACACAGCCCTGTGCTGGATTTCTCGCTCTCTGACAAACCATGGCCAGAGGGAGATACCTGAGACCATCTGCAGTTAAACACTCCACAGTGGGGCAAACAGTATGAAACTGCTCCAGCCTTTACCTGGGTAAATTCCACATATCCTACAGCACCTACACAGATGTGCTCATAAGCACTTATAAAGCTCTATAAAAACAAACCAGATGCTGATATCATTGTAAGTACTATACTCTCTTACTATTTTATTACAATTTAAATGCTGAGCATTGCTGCTTAAGTTAGAAATTTCATAAATCTAACTTGACTTTCTTCCATTCTGTATCAGACCTTCACTACAGCAAAATTACTTGGCTGGCACTGACAGATACATTCCAGTATTGTTCTACATTGGCATTAGAGCTTGCAAGACCAGCATGTGCTATATAACAGACCATAAACATATATGGATTCCAGCTACACACATTAGAATAAGACAGAACATGAGCATGTTATGTATCAAACAGCATGGCCAGTTATGGTCATTATCCAAATAATGCTGCAGCCTAATGGAAGAAACACAGTGAGAATTCAGGAGGTCAGAAAGTAATTGTTTTATTCCCTTCAACCTCTACATTCTACATCGTAACACCAAATAGAAAGATACAGAAAGCAGTAATAGGGTTGTTGCTTGTTGAAAGCTGCTGCTACCATTTAAAGTGAGCAACAGGGCATTCAAGATCAAGGAGCATTTAAATATCAGCCAAACACTAACACTGCTTCCTCAATAGTGAGTTAATAGTGAGTGACTCACTTTCTTACAACACTAAAAGAAAGCAAGCATCTGCTAAATGTTTTCACCAAAAGACTGAAGAGAAACAGACACATTTCCAAAGAGAACAGGGAGGGACATAAGGACCCCAGGGCTTTAACTTTCTCTGGTGTTCCCGTTCATATCAGTACACTGTATTTTTTCATGTTTGAATGTAGCTACTTAAAAACACACCAGAAGAAACAGGAGCAGCCACCAGCTCCCTCACTTTGCTCTGGAACGCTTCGGTAACAAGTGCTCCCATCAGCTTGTCCTGTGCCAGACACACTGCTGGTGCCCCACACAAATACCTCTAGATTTTTCCGTTTGGATATGGAGGAAAATATTTTTGTTCCTTATCTGAGTTGAGCTGAACCAACACGGCACCATTAGTTGCTAGGCAGTGGCCAACCTTCACTTACAGCACCAGACTCTAATCACCTCGTTTAAGATCAGTACTAACTTACTGTTAGCCACCTAAGCTAAAACTCGGACATGGAACAAGACAATATTGCCTCCTCAAGCTATCCTAGATCTCTTCTGCATGGCAGAATTATCTGCTTGTAACAGCCTTTTGTATTAGAGTTAATATTTTTCTACAGCAAAGTACAGATTTCTACATCAGGCTTCACTTTTACTGTATCATGATGATTCTTTCGGAAGGACTGGAATTCCATCACCGTTCCTCTTCCCTAGCTACCAATCTCACTGACACTAACAGATATGCTCCAGCAATGACAGATTTCATAGAATCATAGAATCATCCACAGCTTCTCTGGGCAACCTGTTTCAGTGTCTGACCACCCTCACAGTGAAGAGCTTCTTCCTAATATCTAGTCTAGCGGCTTTATTTAACATGGATTAAAACTGCTCTGGTCTCGTTCAATAACATTCTCCTCAAAAAGCTAAAGGGTTAACAAATACTTAGATTTAACTACCAGGCTCATCTTGAAGCCACGTCACTACATTAAGGACTAATATTAGACTTTTTGATCTATTTTCCTTGCAGCAGGCCCAGATCAGGCAAGCTACGCACCATCAGGAAACGGGCAGGGACAAGCTGAGTGAGAGTCGGCCTCTCCCTGCTTCGTCCCAGGCTTCAATCTCACTTGCAAGAGCTAATGAAGTAGCTTCAGAGGAACAATGCACTTAAAATAGTTTGCCCAAGAGCTGCAATATGTATTTGTATGATGTTTTCCACAAGACACATGCCATCTCAATGTTTACAAAAGCAACTCCACGTTTCTCTTCTGTGTTCCCTTTATCAAGGTGAACAAGTCTAATACAATCCACAGCACTGAGAACATGAACAGGATTTACTTATTACCTTAGTAAGGCGGATAAACAGCATTTACTTATCAACTCAGCAGATGCAAGCCATGTGGCAAAGCCTTCAGAGCAGTAACATGTTCCAACTCCTTAAAACCAAATAAACTTTTTACTACTCATTTTTATCTAATAAGTATATTGAAAGAATCATCCAAACAGAAAAAAAAAAATTACAATAAAGCTAAAATACAAAATTATTTATTCCTCTCCAAAACCGGAATGGAAATCAAGTTCAAAGACTAAAAGTTTTGACAATGTCACTTAACCCACGGCAACTCACAAGCTTCTGAAAGCTCAGCAAATTCAGGTATGAGGATTACAAACCAATTCATCGCTGACTTGTCAAGTAGCTCTTAACTTTTTATTCTTCCCCCCTCAGCATAATACAGTGTAAGGACATGTGGATCACCCCACAGCTTTAAAACAAATAAGACAAACCACAGCGCTTCTCCCTTTCAATTGAACCCACGCAGTGATGCAGCACTCTGCTCCTGATGGCCCAAAGACACCTCACCAGCCACAGCTCCCGAGTGCCCAGCCAATGACAACTTCACACCCTTCACACTCATATGCTCAGGTCTGAGACAAACCTACACCAATTGTACCAAAGTCACAATGTTTTTATTATTTACTAAAAACCCTCAGAAATTTGGTGTCAGAATGAAGTTACTCTAGATCAAGTTTACATGCACACGTGCACACACAAATGAGAGTTTAAATTTTCCAAATATAATGAAAAAGAGGAAGAGCTAGCAAGCAGCAGTAGTAATATTTTAGGAAAAGTCTTTCATATTTTAACATGGAAAGGTTCTTGTTACCAAATAATAAAAAAAAAAAAGCTTGGCATTCAGCATCAAACAGGAAAAAAAAAATAAGGAAATTGCAGGAATGAAATGAAAAACAAACAACCCTAAAGTCATTTATATGAAAATACAAGAAATGAATAACAACTTTAGGAATCTCTAATGGAATTTTTCTTTTTAACGCATCACAGATGGGAACTGGTATCGTTCTTCTGTTACACTAAAAGTCCAAATTTTGTCACAACTCTCCCAACTAATGACAACGGCAAGTGAATCTAGAAGCCAAAAACTAAAAGCATGTTTTTATTGTCCAATCTAAGAAAAAGCAAGAAAATTGAATACCATTCCTCAGAACTGTGCCTCTGATAGGAACTGACTGGTCCTAAAAGTTTCTTCCACAGTGTTTGACATTCCGTTACCAGTTTTAGCACATGCTGGGGTCATTAGTTGTAGCATAATCCCGTGACAAGCAAAAACAGGCTATTTCACCTGAACAAGCCACATGCCATTGGCATAGCAGAGATATACTAACCTTCTCCCTACTTCTTAAGAGATAGAACCACCCAATTCTTGCAAGATTTCTATTTCATAGGTTAATTCTATCATATTTTATTATTTTTCTTCTCTCAAGTGCATAATCCCATAGTCTAAGTGCCACTATTCTCCACATCAATCAAAACAGACAAGAAAGCTTTCAGATTTTAGCAGAGTAGACTCTTATTTTCATAAATATGCAAAATGT